TTGTTAAGGGTCGGATTATCGAGTCACGACTGTATATGAAAATATAGCAGTCAGTGGAACCAAAACAGGGCTTTTCCTTCGATAATTTAAGTAAATGTTGCTGCTATGTACTTCTATGTGTGTACTATGTTGGTACTTTTACTGCAGCAAAGGATCTGAATCTTCTTCTGCACAGTCATGCTCAGAAATAGGAAGTTGCATCAACAACAAGCTACAAACCCAAAACACCAGTTTGCTCAAACTGCAGAACAGAGCGAAACGTGCCAGTTTTTAAACTTCATTAAATCCAAACAGCGTCTCTCGATGATGTGGCGTAAACTCATCAGTGAATCCTCCATTTGCTCAGGCGAGCTCAGGATTAGCACAACTCACGGTGTTGACGGATTCGGGAGACAAACTGACTGCAACGTCCTCACAGTTATGAATATTTATGGCAGAAAGCTGCACCAGAAAACCCGTTTTACACAGCTTGTGTCGACTCTTTGTATCCTAAATCCACAGATCTCGACTCTCAGCACCTTGTGGCACCGTGAACTCACAGCTCGACACTCTGCTGCCATCTTGTGTCTGCAGGCGGGAGTGCAGCAGACATTATTTTTCACATATTGTTTTGTCACGAGACACGACGAGCTGTGATGTGGTTGCACCTCGTTGGGATAACTCAAACTGCATGAGGTGTTTTGTGATATAACTGACAGCAACAACCACCGGATTAGTTGTGGGGTTTTAATTGTGGGGTTTGTGTTGCAGGTGAGGGTGGTGCAGGGGAAGGAGCCGGCCCACCTCATGAGTCTGTTCGGAGGGCAGCCCATGGTGGTCTACAAGGGAGGCACGTCCAGAGAGGGAGGCCAGTCGGCTCCTGCGGATGTGCGACTCTTCCAGGTCCGGTCCAACTCTGCCGGACACACCAGAGCTGTGGAGGTAAGAAGACGAGTCGGTCAGCTTCTAAAGAAGAACTCAGGCGATAATCTGCACATTTCTTTTTATCAATAAGTGCAGTGAAAAGATGAAAGCCTGCGATGAACTAAACCTGCAAACAAGTGTGGTCTGTGTGGTCAGAGGATGATTATTTGTGCTTTGTGCCACAGAAATCCACTAATATCCAAAAACTATTGCATAAGTCTGCACTTAGTTCCTTCACTATTAGGATCATGCATATAATGGTATTTATTTCTAGATGATTTTACCTCCAACATCCTGCTTCTGTAACTCGCAAACAAACAAATGTGCTTTAATCTGCTGCTGAAAATAGTCCTGAGACAAGCACACAATTTACCTACATTTGACTGTATTCAAAGCCATTATTTTAAGGCCAGATAGACAATAGACTGTGGACATTGGAGCGTACGTTTTAAAGTCTGCATTCAGAAGACACAGCCCACGTACAGCAGCACAAACATCCTCCTTCAGGGTGTCGTCTGCAGTTTTATTCCCCTTTTAGCAGAAGCAGGATAATTGTAAACATCTGAGCAGGAAGCCAATAAAACTCAGTTTCTTTTTGGAATTTTTGTTCCTCCGACCAAACAGCACCTTCATTCTTCTTTTCTACACTTCAGATCTTGATCTTTGTGGCTGCAGTGGGTTGATCTTGATCAGTGTCCCTACAGCGGTAGATTTCACTAAGGTTTTACGTTTTTACCACAGGCTGTAATAAACTAAGCCGTGTTCAGATTGAGATTTTAGGTTCACTGTTTGGTTTTTGGCCAAACTTTTATAAAATTAATTCAACTAAAAAATAGAAATATATATATATTTTGGACATATTTTATTTGTCTCTGTGGGCCACCAGTTGAAGAACCTATTTTAGGTCTAAGATGTGCATTTGTGTACAGTTTGTGCACTTGGATTGAAGTTATGCTACAACATAACATAAAAAATAAGCTTAGGTTAAATTAAATTACAAAAAAAAGCATCCTTTGCAGACTTTTTCAGTGATGTAGTGCAGAAAATGTTAACAGGGTATAAAATATAAAATTTAAAAATTGTTAAGCTTAATTAAAATACATTTTAATTAAGCTTAACAATTTTTATTAATTATTTAAATAATTTATTTTATTTTATAAAAATATTTTATTTCTTACATTTATTGATTAAAATTTTACATTTTAAAATCTAGACTTTTTATTTGATTTAAAATTTTTAAGTTTCTAAAACCAGCAATTCCATACCGTCTCTTTTCACGCAGCTCGATGCCGCGGCGTCCAACCTCAACTCCAACGATGCTTTTATTCTGGTGACCCCCGGCGGCTCCTTCCTGTGGGTGGGGGTCGGCGCCAGCGACCCGGAGAAGCAGGGATCCCAGCAGCTGTGCGACATCCTGGGAGTGTCGGCCTCCGAGCTGTCCGAAGGAGGAGAGACCGGTGAGGAGACACAGTGAACAGCAGCAGCTCAGATAAAACTCAGACCGAAACACGAGCAGAGTTTGTATCTGTGTCGGCTACAAAGTGCAGTCTGGATGTTAAGACAGGCCTTAATGCCAACCTAAACTCTCCTCTTTTTGTATTTCAGCTAAGTGCTTATGTTCATCCATATTGACACAAAGCCGGCCGGGTTGCGTCAGCCCTCAGATGTTAGCAGGGATCTCATAACGCTCCAGAAGAAGAAATTGGCTGCAAACAGTTTCTCACATAAGAACACCTCGGGCTAACGGTCCATTTTTTATGAACAGCCTGCTTTTGAGGACTGACCCGCTAAAGACAAACACAAAATTCACCTTTTAGAGTTCTGTGAGCCCAAGCTGATGGTTTTTTCTGTTCAAAACCAATGCAGCTGTAGACTAAATGATCATCTTAGGGTGGTTCTAAATCCATTTACATAAAAACCATTTAGTTTTTACCTATAAATCTGCACGTTAAAGCTGCACTAATCAACATTTTTGATGTTCATAATGGAGTAAATGAGTGCAGAGTATAGACACAAACCTACGGCCTTTGAGCCTCTTTTAGCTTGTTTTGTTTTTCATAGTGAGTCTGGTTTAGTTTCAGCGCTTCAATCAGCAACATCAGTCCAGTAACTCACTGCATCACCTGCATTAAACTGCACAAACACACAGTTAGCTGCTGCATTTACCGGCCAACGAGATGCTTATGTTTGTGAGGAGTTCGTCTAACCAGTAGGACTTACTTTGAGAACATTCTTCAGGATGAACACCTATTTATAACATAAGGAACCTTCTTTATTCCGACATACTCACAGAGCTGGAGTTACATCCAGAACCTACTGTTAGTCGTTGTTTCGTGCACACACGGTTGACGATGTGGTTGCAGCTGTTGGATTCTACACTTAAATGGAACCAGAGAGACTGAAATGACTGATTAGAGGCTCGTTCCTGTAAATGTTTGTGCCATCCTGCATCTGAGCCGAGTTCCTGCAAGTAAAGGTCACTACGAGCTAGAGAACATAGAACTGAGCGTTTAGCAGCTAAAGCACGCTGCATACTTTTCTAAGACACTCGAACAAACCAGTTGAAGTTCCTTTTGTCAACCCTAAACTCTATTAACGCTGAAGAGTTAATCCTGGCATTTCACAAAATCTAAGTTAGGAAGAAAAGACAAGACGAATAAATAATCAGAATATAAAAGACAGATAAAGGCGTATAAAAATTAAAAGAGTGCTCGAAAGGTTAAAATATTATTTAGATAAGTTTAAGACAGCTCCAAGGAAATCATAAACCGACCTGCTTTTCTTGGTGAGATCATTCTAGAGCCACGACTGTAAACGTTCCGTCCTCTTCAGTTTTCAGCCTCTGGAACAGACAAAAGGATTCAAAAGTGCAAAGTGCTGCATGTGCCTGAAAAGTAATGAGTAAAATCTTAAAATCAAACTTGTATTTTACTGGGAGCCGATGTACAGAGGAGTGACGTGATCGCGTTTACTGGTTTTGGACAGCTGCAGTCTGGGTTCAGTCAATAGCTTGGACAAAGTGTGTCCCAGTAAAGATAGATCTTTATCATGTAATAGTTTGTCAGTGTGGTGGTTTGAGCTTTTCTTCTGCCTCCATTTACCAAAAAAAATAAACAAATCAATCAATGCAGCTTTAAAATCATAGTTAAGATTTAGGAAATAAGATGAGAAGAGCAGTAGTTCCACTCTGTTGTCTTTTAAACCTGTTAAATCATGAACAGTGCAGGTCATAGTCCTTGTGTGAAACTCATAATGTGTTTTGTTACTTTTTTTTTGGATCCCTTTGGACTTTTAGTCTTTATGCAAAGCTAACCAGCTGCTAATTTTACGCCACCACACAGACATCAGAGTTGATCTTTTTTTCGAACCCCCCTCAAATAAAGTGGTTAAATATGTTTCTGCCTTTGAGTCCGATGCTCTTCCCCGTCTGAAGTGTTTCTGTTGTGGTTGCAGATCAGTTCTGGGAGGCTCTCGGTGGAAAGACAGAGTATCGCACCTCGACCCGACTCAAGGACAAGATGGACTCCCACCCACCGCGACTCTTCGCCTGCTCCAACAAGACCGGCAACTTCATCGTGAGTCTTTGCTTTTGAGCATCTCCTGCTGCCTTTGTTTTAAATCACAATTTAATCATGCAGCGTTCTAAACTTTTGCTTTCTGCAAATTGGTCTTGCGCAAAAACATTTAATTTTGCAAGTTTTTGAACTTATCAGTGTCAGTTTTTTTTTTTAAATTCCGAAGCCTTTTTTCTTGACACAGTACTCTGTCCTCTCAGATCGAGGAGGTTCCAGGAGAGCTGACCCAAGACGACCTGGCCACCGATGACGTCATGATCCTGGACACCTGGGAACAGGTGAGACCCTGATGTAGCTGCACAACATTAACTCAGAGCAGAGCCGCCGCTGCTATTAAAAAAAAACAGCAAAATAAATAATCCTTTTCTCTTTTTAGGTGTTTGTCTGGATTGGAAATGAGGCCCAGGAGGAGGAGAAGACTGAAGC